TTCGAGCATATTTCATTTATTTGATGAATGAGTGGCTCTTCCTCTATTTTCTAGTTTCGTTCAGCGATTCAGGATGTGCTACGTTAGTGTGGTCTCAGTAGATATATATGGATAGCTCTAGACGAATAAAATGACAAATGTAGAAAGTATTATGGCTTTATATGCAGTACGCACACTTTACGTTAATGAAAGTATTCAAAAATACTTGAATCTGCATATATTGTTTACGTCAATGGACGGACGCCCGACAAAATTATGTGTACGAATCTCATTTCGCTTTTTAACAGTGTAGCTTGTAACGTCATTGAAATAACTTCGAACCCTGGCCAATTTATTCATCAAACTGGAGGTATCTCTACCCCGGAAAGGTTATCACCAAGTGTTGGAGTTTATGTCGAATGATTTCAGGGTCAAACGTACCTAACGCTAACTAATCAACTTGTACCATGGAATAGGCATCACCAGTAGATTGTTAGCATACTTTCAGTCGTTCTTTTCTGATACATTCTGCTAGATACATCATATTCTTTTCAGAAAGATTCAATCTATTATGTATATCCAGAATGAAATCATGATTTTCTGGCGACCAGATTAGAGAATCATTAAACAGTACTACTTTGGTGCAAAGTTATGTAAGTTGAACACTCATGTCTTTAAATAGATCTGTTGATTTGGTGTTTCGACGGTGTTTTTCTGCACCGAAATTTGCTCATTCAACCTTCATATCTGTTTCGCAGTCGAATAAGGAAACACTGTGGGGATGGTGTGATCGGAAGTATACAGTTTGTTTATTACTTTATTATTTGAATTAGACTTTGTGAATCCCAGCCAGCTGGTGAATTTAATGTTATCCTGAAGTGGTTACTGATTCACGGTCAACATTTTAGTGCCGCTGAAGCGGAACAAAACTTTCTAGTCAGTACTTTTGTTCGGTCCTGACGTCTTGCCGGAGTTGCACATGGTGTTATGTATTTCATAATGATCGGTCGTCTTGTTCCAAATTTCGGTGGTGCAAACACTATCCTAGTTTGATCACAGCGAACCGGAACTATCAGCTGGGTGGCATAAGTAAGAATTACTTATAAACAATAGCCGAATCTTCCCGATAAACTCTAATTCTGGGCATGCAGCTAATTGATGGTGGTAACCATTTCCGTTCTGATTGATTATCTTTTGATGTTTGTATATGTGTGATAAGTTTTACGGAAACATTTTTCCTTTGCTCGCATTAGGTCCACAACAGATTTATAAGTCGGGATTTCTGAATTGTGTTTGTGCAAAATTATTTTCCGTGTTCAAGTTGCCTTAGTCTTCATTTTAACACATTATTTCTTAAAATACCTATTCAGAAACAGTTTGTTTCTGGAGAAGCAACAGAGAGTGATAACACTATATACATACTTAAGCATTGCACTCCTTATGAGACAAATGCTACCAAGCAAGTAAGCCCAAGCAACTACTTCCCGAATCCTTCCTCGAAATTTTTTCGAAGTGTTACCTATTATCTTGGAGTTTGTTGTTGTTTGTCAATATCCGTACTCATTTGGTAATAGTGGTGATAGTCAACCATTTTCAAGCATTATACTACAAAGCTGTTTTAATTCTGGTTTTGAATATTCTAATGTTTGTGCTGCATGATGGTTATTTTTAATTAAAGACATTATGAAGTAGTAGGAATGATGTCTTTGCTTTGATATCTGCATCGGATCCTTTTTGTTTTGTTTTTAATGAACATCTCTAATTATGTAGAGGATTCCGTCTCTTCCAGAGTGTCTCCATCATGAGCAAGTTGAATGACGGTCGTTTAACATCTTAGAATCTTACTTTATTTGCAAATACTAGGACTCAATCCCACATGACCCGCTCCCACATTTTTGTTGCACTGTCTTAATCCGAATTACTTTCTGTTTTTGCGATACAAGGTCATAGTCATTTTAATGTATTCCAAAACAAGTATTGTTGAACGTATTGGTTAATCGACAAGTCCCCATGTGTGACCAATGTTACTTTCAGAATTCTTGAATTCCCAGAATGTTCAGTATAATTTCTATACCTCACCCGCTTCACCCCAACCAAACACCAATAAATCAAAAAGTGGCGTCTGGAGTACGAAATCAAAAATATATAGGTGTAAATACACACAACAACATACAAGTTTCTTCAATACGTGTATAATGTGAGGACTAAGTTATGAATCCCGATTTCTGCCCAAAAGAGCTGGTACAATTAAGTTCACGAAAAAGATAAAGGCGTTCTGTGCAGCAAAAGATAATATTTTTGTACCTCAAAGAATTCATGCAGTCAAACTTCCAATTGTCAACCGGATAAACCATTAAGATATACAAGACCGATTACTCAAAATTTGCCCATGAAGCACTGACTGAGAAACTTTTCTACTGTACAGGCATTATATTTCTCATTATTCTATTCTGTTGAAAACTTTGCGTTTATAAAGATAACCTCGGACTTAAATCATTTTGTTTCACAATTCGAACTAGCCGAACACTTGTTATTTTATTCAATAGATTAAACTTAGGTTATATACAAGCACGGAAAATTTATGAAAATTGCAAATAATTGTCTAAGAAGTTGTAAAACTCCATTTGATTGCTCCCGGGTGTCACTGAGTCACACTAAAGAAAATCAGATCAATCACGTATTCATCATCAAAAGGTTTGTCGAAGACTCAAGAACAAAGGAAGCAATCTACATAGCTGCAGACCAGAATCTGGTTGTTGGATAAATATGGAAATAAAGAAGCGTTGCACACATAGACAGAGAGCACTACAAACTTTTAATACAGCCTTCCCTCGAGGTACTGAAAAACGCAATCCATTGTACATGTTGTTCAAGGTCATACACTTAAACGACATATAGAATCATTTTGTGGTAAATGTATAGACTGTGAAAATTAACGAAATAAATGCAAACAATATAGAAAACTAGTCACAAAATAAGTTTGTCATGCCTATATTCACAAGACTGCTCTCAGCAAGATGCTCCAGGCTTTTCAAGTTCTACTTACCCATAAGTCATGAAGAACAACTAAAAAGGGATTAAGGGATCATTTCTTCTACATGACAGAAAATACTGGCGTCATCAAGCACCAGAATAAAATTAAGAAGAATATTTTTAGTCCAGAGACTGGATCTTGAAGTTGTGATCTCTGGGTTGGTCAGAGTTCACGCCAAAAGAGAGAAACCGATCAAAAACCATTTAAGAAACAGTCACACAGTTATAGATAGCAACCAACTAAAATTCATGTCAGTAAATAAAGGTATTGTTCGATTGTGAAGCAATTCTAATAGCTCAGTCTCTTTTGAAGTACGTGTTGGTATCACTTGAAAATCAAAGATTCACAACAAATCCACCCAAGCCAAATATCACAACACTCGCGCCAGAATAGAATATAGATCTTTGCAGATACCTTGGGAAAGAATTAAGGAAGTGATAACCAAAATAAAACCAACAGTAACCAAGCAAGAGCAGACTGAACTAAGGAACAGACTGGATATAACGAGACCAACAAGTGAGCGAAAATTCCCGATAATGTTCATAGGCATAAATATGCCAGATGCCTAGAAGCACCAGCGAGATAAACTGCTATGATGAAATGGGGGAAATCGAAATGATAGGATGTACAGGCGAGCAGAGAAACACAATAAACTAGAACGACTAATTAGAAATATAAGAAACTGGTCACTGCGATTCAAAAACATAGGAGGTGTAGTGAAAACTTTGAAGAGCTCTCTAATGGGCCAGTCCCTCTAAACCCACTGGACGCCAAAGTAGTGCACACAGAGCATACTTCAATTATTATTACACCAACGGTCACGTTCATCAGGTAAATCCAAAACAACAAAGCGATAAGATCAAGGGACACACCAGCCAATGCAGTGCAGTCAGACCGTAAAGATGTTTCATGTTTTCTGCAGGAAGGTTTGGGCGGAATTACAAGTAACAACAGACCCGAAAAGGGGATGTTTAGTCACGACATCAAAGTGTAGAGATCTTCTTAAGCTCCTGTCTCAAACTGCACTATTTTGGGAACCCTTTGCACGTTAGATCGAGTACTTTTAGTTATCATTTTAAGTCGAGTTCTCATCATGCTTGTCTTTACTCCATTATGTGATAAACTAAACACCACCTGACCATGTTAAAGAATAAGGAGAAACTAGCTGTTGGAGCATGTTAAACAAGACAAGGGTAAAGAGTCAGTAGATTGAGTCAAAAATATGTAATTTTGGTGGTTGCATCTTGGTAAGTGTAAGGTATTGAAAACCAACTTTTGATAATGGATGGGCTTATACTAACTTGACAGAATTGAGGGATTTGCTTGAAAAAAGTACAAGTAGGCAAAGTAGCCCTAACAACTATGGAGTTCATGTCAGCTCCACTGTTCGGATGAGGTTAATAACTGAGAAATTCTAATGTGCTCACTACGTGGTCTGAGGGTACCTCACATCAAACTTAACTGTCAAGTAATTTGTAACATGGCTTCATTGGTGCAACTGATTGACTCGAAGAATCAAATAATTCGAAATTGCTTATGGATGCGTAATAACTCAGTCAATGCTGATGTACTTTTCGTCAGTAATAACCATGAAAGTTGATATCTTGACCTTTCATCGGGTCTTAGACTGACTGAATGTGAAGGGGATGTGCGAAAGCTGCCAATTTCAATATCCAAATGAATTTAAGTAAATCAACATTCATATCCCGTTTCTTCATGAAACACAGCAAGAAACGTTCGTTTCTCCAAAACTCGTATCAAATATTTGAATGGAATCCTAGTTTCAGCAAGTAAACGACCGAACGAGAAATTTCCGACATAAAAATGTAAATGTCCAAAAGAGAATCACACTAATATAAAACATGCACCTAAGAGTTTAAAAGCTCTCTTGCTTCGAATGGACAGAATGTGGAACTTTTCGCAAAAGGATAAAATGACTGACGTACAAGCAGCACCTTCCCAATGAAATGTTTTGTTTGAACGTTCCACATGGTAGCGGGGTGTGTAAAAATGACCGCCATATTTTGCGTTTTAACTAATTTCCTACTTAATGACTTTTCTACTTTTCTTCCTTCGGAATAAACCCATGATTTTAAAATGTGTAAGTCTGATTCCTACATAACATTATTAGACTAAATCTGTCTCCGTTTTTTTCTCCTTAATGTCTGTAAATTTTTAGAATGTGTAATCATAATTTACAAGGGTCTTTTTCTCAAGCTTTTTTCCATTGGTAACAGGTGTTTGTCAGTCATTAATATAAAGATTTTGCATGGGTCGCCATTGCATGGGTGTTGTATGAACCGATTCCGACACATGATTGGTATTTCTAACTATAATTTAGATTGTTTTTCATTCTTAATAGTGGCTAGTGAACGACGTAAAATTATATTTAGCTCGAAACAACTACTTTAGGATCAGTGAACGTCACTGGCGTCGGTACTGAGCTGGTCACCCACTGAATATTACGCTTGAAGTGTCAACTTGACAAATTTCATTTTCAATACTGTATGGCTTGCAGAAATAAGAGTCCAACTCATCTTCAGCAGTCCCTTTAGCTAAAACATTAGTGGAAGCTCATTAAGTGTCCCATCTAGTTCATGTTTGTTTGGGTAGATGACCTGTTGGTCTATTTTAAGCCATACAGTTATCAGGTATCACCCTACTAAATGAATGAATCCAATTATTTCTGAATGCTAATCCATAGAATAACCACTCAGAAAAAAGACTTAGTACTGGAGCCCAGATGACTTACTTTTTATGGTTCTTGGGGATTTCCCTTCTGTTGCTTACCCTTACGAGGACACGAGACATTACAACAAGCAATTATCATATAGGATGCTCTTATGACGTAACTTTTAATGTACACTAAGTCAATGAAGTTTGAAACCTAGGAATTAAGTTGAAACACGTTGTCAGTTTAAAGGTGGTATATATGTCAGATTTACTTTTTATGGATTACCTTTCCAAAATGCTATGTCAGAGCACTGTGTGTTAGCAATACTCACTTTTTTGAAACACACGACCCTTCTTAGTGGAAGTCATTTCCTGCATGAGGTATGTATAGTTTCGGTGATACTGGTTTATGGACGACTTTTTGACAACGCCAAAGTTCCTTCTGACTCAGATCTGTTTGGTGACTCTTACAAATCGCTATTACCTATCAAAACGATATTCATTTCAGAAGACATGTTACGGAAGATAGTATGGTATTATTAATGTTAGGAGCAAAAGGAATGAAAGTATCGTCATATTTAGACATGTTAAGAGTGCCGTCTGTTTGTTCAAATAACCCACCGCTCAATGTATAATCTTCCTCACCATCACTGATACCACCTCTGCTTTGATTTTTTCGTTATCGTCTTGTTAATTTCACCTTCCGTGTTTTATGAGAAACTGGTCTGGCCCTTTATTTATTACGACTGACTGATATATAAGTAATGCTTCAAATAAATCTTTGACCAAATACTGGTAATCTACGATTATCCTCTACTTTTAATGTTCATGCTTTTCGACCACGAAATAAAACAATAAAAGATCATCCCTAGCAGTCAAACTTCCTGTTTATCTCATGGGTGATACAAGTTGAATAAGACCAAGTGAAGTTTCTAGATCGACCCAAGGTTTCATCAGCATAGTTGATGAGACTTTCCCGGCAAGTTAAGCGGTTTGTGCTCTTAGCTGTTATATTCCCTTTTATCACTGTAAGCAATAACTGAACCAGTTCTCGACTAATATTTGGATAGGAAAATGCGTCCAAAGCATTATTGCGTTTTTGCCCGGGGAGCTTAGAAGACTTCACTTTATCAGCTTTTCCGAGACAGGACAATGTCAACTGTGTATTGCTAACCAACCAGCGTGTCTTCAGGAAGAACATCAGATGAAAAAGTAAGAATTCCTGGGGATTCTATGGAGTTTATCAACTATAATTATAGTTATTTAGTTAGTCTTGTGTGTTGTTAGAAGTATGAGGGCAGTTTTCACTTCCCGGTCCCCCACATCGTGTGAGGGTTCTTCTAGAGGTACCTGAAAAAGAAATTGAGTTAGAAGTGGTCTTAGTGACCTGGGAGCGTGACCGTAGTACCCAAGGGACAACTGCTTGAGGTCGGTCACACGTGAACTTTTTGTGAGTAGTTTTCATGTTCCGTACTTGTTGGGACCTTACTGCCGGGGCCAGAAATATGTGGGATAAGATGAGGTGTGCATTCTTATGGTCGACCTTTTCTAACCCCATCGCTGTTATGCTGGTCGTCTGAAGGGAACACCTTAATACCGTCACATCTCTATACAGTCAGCAGTACGACTTCGCCCTCGAACCTTGGGTTTACTGCTTTTACTCTTACCGTTCTTCAACCAACCTGTGTATCATGGTAGGACCTTAAAAAACGATTAGTCCAGCTAGTATAGCTCGATTGGTTCATTACGATAGACAGGCTCAACCATCACGTCAAGGTAGCAGCAACGGTTAATCATAAACTCAACATGTATCCCATTTTCGATGGTTATATTTCACACCCCCAAGGCAGGACAGTGAACTTTGCAATATCCCTACTCAATAGTTAGTCGGGCTTCTTGGGGATAACATAACCACTTTACACGTGCCAGGTGTAAGACGTATCTAAAACTATTTCTAGGTACTAATATGGTTTAGTTACGACCCGTTAAAAGTGAACACATCGGTCTATTTTGGTTATTATTTTGTAAATGAGTTCGATCACTACTTTATTCTTTGTGACCACTTAGTATATTACTTTTGCTAGTCATTTATTACTTAGACTCGATTATACATTTGTATGATTATTAAGTTGCTGTAAATTTTACTCTTCACACTTTTCGATATCTTCCACATCAAATGTACTGTAGCTGGTGTAAATATGCAAGGTTCGACCACAGATCAAATCACCTATACAAATGACCGTCCCCAAGGTTTATCTACGGAGGCCAAGATGGTTCTCATGCAACAGCAGTTAGCACTACTTCTACATGCTGATCACTGTGAACGCCTTGAAAGGAGGGGGATGGCAACAAACTGTGCGGATCGAAATTGTGGTGAAATTCGAAACTTGCTGCCTCATTTACAGAGTTGCACTCGAGAAAAGGAGTGCAATGTTCCACATTGTATTTCATCTAAGTACATAATGCGGCACTATCGTTCTTGTGGAGATATGGAATGCAAAGTTTGTTCGGCAATCAGGAAACCCATTGGGAACTCTACACCGTCATCAGCATCATCCGTTAGTTGCCCACAAAATGGACTCACTTCAAACCACAAATCTGACATATCATCCTTAAATGGCATCAAAATATCAGACTCTCCGCTTCCACACCAAGAGACTGCTTTTACAACTGGTTCGTGTGAATCACAACCAACAGTTGTGTTGAATGGTGAGTTCAGTCGGGTACCTTTACATGAAAGCCGCATCACCGATCAACAGCGAGAACTAGCTATGAAAAAGTTGTAAGTTCTACTTTTTCATAAAGTTATTTTTTATAGTGTGAATGATATTTCTTTATCAATCTTTCCAACGGCAAATCCTACTGCATACAGTGATCCCAGGATGAAACAATTTCTCGATTATGTGAAACGAATGGAAAAAGACGTTTATGTAAAATCTAGGTCAACAGAAGAATATTTCAAAACAATGGCACTTCATTATCACAATATACATTCTGAATTAAAGGAAAAGCGTCGTCTGAGGGAATCCTGTCCGCCACTACAAAATGGAGATATTTCTGATGTGACACAACCTTCAGACCTGTCAAATTCTGTTTCATCAGAAAATAACTCATTGAAAGCTAATTCTTATGATCAGGATCAGTTTTCAGATGCTTTAGAAATCGTATCCAAGCGTGAAGAACAAATTCAACGGGAAATTAAAGTTGAAGTTACGACAGAAAGCTCTTCGAATTCCTCTGACTCTGCAGGGGTTTTAGAAGACAAGGATAATAAAGAAGATTCAAATTCACCAGAAGTTAAATATCGTTCTGTCACGTCCATAGAACCTAGTGAAAGCGAAATAAAGACAAAGATTGATGAAAAAACTGATCTGGAGTCGGATGCACCTGAGCCCACCAGTTCTGATGAAAAAAAAGAGGACATCCAGGCTTCTCGAGAACCTATCAGACGAAGAATATGGTACTCTAATGAACTGTTGCAGCATTTTCTACCAGTTGTGCTAAAAATAAGCAAAGAAAAGGATGCAGAACCATTTTTGACTCCAGTAGACTGGAAGTTCCTTGAAATATATGATTATCCTCAAATAGTTTCTGATCCTATGGATCTGTCAACTATACGGAGAAAACTAGAAGACCGAGAATATAAGGATCCTTGGGAAATAGTCGATGACTTTTGGTTGATGCTTAACAATGCCTGGCTTTACAATAAAAAGACATCCAAGGTCTACAAGACCTGTACAAGGGTAATTTCATATATTTTTACCATTACACATTTTTTTAGTTGGCTGAGACATTTGAAACTATAATTGACCCTGTAATGCAGTCGCTTGGATTTTGCTGTGGCAGGGAATACTATTACCAACCACCTACCTTAACCTGCTTAACGCCCAAGTTTTGTACAATATATCGCGATGCAGTTTATTACGTCTACAAGAGCGAGTAAGTCCTTAGTTTTTGTCATAATATTGTGATAGTGGTCAAACTCCTGGACTTTTGGAACAAAAATACACAGTATGCGAGAGATGTTACAATGAAGCTTTAGATCAAATAGCCCTTGACAGTGACTCCAGTAACCCAGTGTAAGTCGCATTTGCTTTAAATTTTGAGTGTGCAATTTTAGAAACGTTCAGAAGAGTTTGATGGAGAAGTGCAAAAATGATATCAAAGAAAAGGAGCCATTCGTATTTTGCAAACATTGTGGGAGGAAGTGGCACAGAGTTTGTGCCATATACCTTGAAGAAATTTGGCCAGATGGTTTTATTTGCAATCACTGTATTGTGAACTATGGATTGAAGCGTGTTGAAAATCGTTTCACAGCTAAGAAATTGACAACATGCAAATTAAGCAACTTTTTAGAAAAACGTGTAAATGATTTTTTGAAGAAAAAAGAAGCCGATGCAGGTGATGTTATTATTCGTGTTCTTGCAGCAGCAGATAAAACTGTTGAAGTTAAATCTGGCATGAAGGCTCGGTTCTGTGATAACGGAGAAATGCCTGAGTCTTTTCCCTACAGAGTGAAAGCCATTTTCGCATTTCAAGAAATCGACGGTCAGGAAGTATGTTTTTTTGGTCTTCACGTTCAGGAATATGGATCAGAATGCCCACTTCCTAATACCAGAAGAGTGTATGTGGCTTATCTAGATTCCGTTTACTTTTTTCGTCCTAAACAATTCCGTACAGAGATATATCATGAACTTTTGGTTGGTTACATTCACTATGCAAAGTTACTTGGTTTCACAACGGCTCATATATGGGCTTGTCCGCCTAGCGAAGGTGATGACTACATTTTTCATATGCATCCACCTGATCAGAAAATTCCTAAACCTAAAAGGTTGCAAGAATGGTATCAAAAAATGCTTAAAAAAGCACTCATTGAACGCATTGTGGTGGATTACAAAGATATCTGTCAGGATGCTAATGAGTCCCATATGATCTCTCCAGCTGAACTTGCCTATTTCGAAGGTGACTTTTGGCCAAATACTTTGGAAGAAATATTTAAGGTAATGTTCTTTAATGTTAAACGATTTATAGCTGTCTTCGTAATTTTACAACTATAATTTTTATCATAATCTAGTACTTGTCTATAACTTTTCAAAACTGAACTATGTATTATGTTGAATAAAACCATCTCAGTTAGTTTCTTGGTACCGTGTGTCGAGAAATGATCAGGTACTTATTTCATCAATCACCAACTACTGAAATAAATGTAATAAAGTCCGAATCTTTCGATTATGTTACTATAGAATTTTGTTAGGTCACTCTATCTATTCCTACCTTGTCTGTTAGCATCCTTCTTGCCTGCTAACTGAGTAGTGAATCTGTGCTCGTTTACCCTCATATTGTTTGTTGTAGAAAAACAAAAAATTAGGCTATTATCCAACAATAATTTTAATGAGTTTATATTTTCGTAGATTGAAGCAGCCAAGAATTATCGTCTTCTCACTTTTGTAGCACAAAACATCTTCGGGAGGTTATTTTGTGGATAATATTTAATAGATCTTATTTTTGACACGTTTCTATTATTTGAACTAAGAATATTATGGTGAAAACTCGCTTTTAACTATCAACCAATGGCTAAAACTTCCTAGTTGGTCCATTAAACATGTCCTCTGAAGTCTCGTTGCTTTATAGTTTTCAGCTGTCTTTAGTTAGGTTTGTAACTGTAATTGTGTTCATGAGCTGATTTAGGGAATAGCAAATCGTTTTGCTTAGTCAAAAAGTAACGAGTCTGGGCGTTGGCAAGTATTATCTTTTGACCAGTGGAGTCATACCATTGAATATGTTAAGTAATATAACATGGATTTGTCTAGTTTGGAAAAGGTAGCATCACTCACGGGTAGTATTTCAGTAATAAAGCTTTTGGTTACGGGTGTGTTTCTTCATGAACTCCTTATTTAAATACTATCTGTGAGTTTTGAGGTGGTTGCTATTGTTGGCACCAATGTCCTGGGAAATGTTTCTTAACTTACGAACTTTGTTTATATGCAGCTATGACGCATCATAGATTAATTACCATTTCTATTTAAAGTCTGATTTGTTAAATTCTATTGCAACTATGTTTCGAAATCTCTTCCGCTCTCTAATAAAATTGGCTTACGGATAGTAAATGCTTACTAACTTTAGGTTCATCTGTAACTTTCATATGAAAATGCCTTGAATTAAATCGAAATGAAGATGCTAACACGAGGATGTGAACATAAATACGACACTTAGGCTTCACAACAATTGAGGCATTAGTGATTCATTGGTTGGCATTTTTCTATCCTAGTCAAATCCTTACATAGTACGTTCGCTATCTACAAACTCATTCCTTATCCTTAAATTCGTTCGTATTCCAGCTGCTGTCATAAAAAAAGAGCTCGACAAACCAATGGTAACAGAACCATTTATGTTATCCAATAGTATTTAAGATCATAAATAAATTATTATTTTCATTATTACTAATATTTTTAAATTTTCTGAATATAATTCTAAAGAATTAAATTTTTTCGAGTTTACTTTTCACGGAAACTCGCTAAAAGATTCTTGATGAATTTGTTTCGGTTGTGAATAGTTTTAAACCTCTTACTTGGTCTGCGAGAGTATAATTTCGAAAGTGACTAGTTATTCTGCTAACAAGTATGTATGACATCCAACGTTCTAATTGAAAAATTCATTTTACTTTGAAGTACATGAATCATGATACAAAATAACACCAGAAATGTTTCACGTAAGGGAAGTGATGATATTGAGTGAATAAAGAATGAAAAGTAGTACAAACAATAAATAATTGAACATGAATAGCATTCAGTAAGAAATGCAGTTCAGCTAGAAAAACAACTTCTAAATGCTTCTCAGTGAAGCTCATCTCACTATTATGAAAAGTATAATAGAAAACTACAGACGGACCACAACTGGCTTTTATTCTGAGCAATATATGATAGTGTTTTAAGCCGCTCACTCAACTAACTAGTATGCAAACTTTTCAAATTTCTTTAACCATTCACCACAAAAAGTGAGTACAAGCACAAATTCTTCTTGGTAGAAAGATAACAGTTTGTTTCTAAATACATCAGCGAAAATTGTTTATAACTGTGTTGTAATGAACTTGAGAGGGTCGACTAATGTCGGGCATATTCAAATTCAGTCCTCTTACTTGGTTAACTAAGAGGTAGTATAGTCAATATGCACCGTCGGCATTTTTTTATAGTAAATTATTGCTATTTTATAACAGTAACAAATCCGTAATAATTAGTAATCTGAAGTCAGCTATTTAGCCTACATATTATTAGGAGGTTACAAGTTTGTGTGACGAAAATACTTTTTAAAAATCTCTTCTATAGGAAATGGATGAAGAAGATGCCAAAAGAAAACAGGAACAAGAAGCATTGGCTCGTGGTGGTGATGACGACGATGAGGCAAAAGAAAACGTGCAGACTAAAGAAACCGATGAAAATCCGGGAAAGAAGAAAGCCAAACGAAGAAAGCTCAAACGTAGTGCTTCTATAACGATCACAGGTAAACGAAAGCGCCTAGGTGGTATAGGTTCAGGTGATGTAGCAAATGAAGTTGCACGTCGTGTCTACGAAATAATGGAGAAACATAAGGAAAACTTCTTTGTCATTCGATTGCATCCTCAAAATTCAGTCGCTGCACTTCCACCAATTAAGGATCCAGATCCACTTATCAACTCAGAGCTAATGGAATGTCGTGGTGCTTTCTTAGAAAAAGCTCGTGAAAAGCACTTAGAATTTTCATCATTACGACGTGCTAAATATTCCACTTTGGTGATGTTATATGAATTACATAATGAAAATCGTCAACCTTTAATGTACACTTGCAATGTTTGTAGTGCACAACTGGAAACTCCATGGCATTGTAAACAATGTATCGAATATGACTTATGTCCCCGATGCTATGAAACCGAAAACCATCCTCATCCTATGGTGAAAATAGGTATTGGACTTGACGATTGTAACAAAGGACAAGAGCAAAGTAACGATTCAACTATTCAGGAATCAGGAAGAGATAAATTAAGTCGTTGGGTAAAAGCCTTGGGTCATAGCTGTTATTGTCGTGATGCGAATTGTCGTGTATATGCATGTAAGACAATGAAATATCAGGTACAACACTTTCGTGTACATTCAACAGATCGAAATCAATGTTCTGTTTGTCGATTCATCTATTATTTATGTTGCTATCATTCCAAAACTTGCCATGAATTGAAGTGTCTTGTACCTTTATGTCCTAAACTTAAGGCGAAAATGAAGCAACAGCAAAAGCAACAACGCCTAAAACAAACACAAATGTTACGCAGACGTATGGCCACGATGCAGCGCTGTAACAGCATGACTCCTAATCATCAACCAACTCCCCCACCATCTCAAAATTATCAACAATGTTCTCAATCTTCGACATCTGATTGCATATCTTCCCCTATGTCTGTACCTATGCAGTCATCGCCATTTGCTTCTACAGCTGTTACTACTGTTTCCTACAACCTTACCTCTCCACATTCAAGAAGTCAATCTTCTATCCAATCTCCACAGCAAAGTCCGTTTTTTCACCCTCCTTGTCCATCATCTTATCAGAATTCTCAACAAACTCCTCATTCATCAAAAGCATATGTGTCTAGTCCATCAGTTCCCCGATCCCCGTCAATATCTGTTGTGCCAGTCTCTACTTGTGTTCAAAATCTCCCTCAGTCAACTGGGATTCATAATCAGCCTGTTGTAACTTTAGAATCGGACCAGTTGATAAACACACATGTAGATATCAGTAGGACAGGTTATGCTTTTCAGTCTCAATCGAAATATTCTTTATCTTGTACCCAGCCTACAACATCTTTCAGTACCCAACAACAAATGCAGCGACATCATATACAGGAACGCCCACAAACAAGTCTTAGTAATAATTGGCCCCCCAATTACGTTGTTTCTCAACATAGTATCCAGTCGCATGGATCTACTTCTGGACACTCAGTCACACATCGACCTTTGCTTACAAACAATTCAGTTCCCATAGATGCATTATCTCCAAAACCATTTGTTCACCAACCAGGTGTGACTCTTATGGATGTTGATCCGTCGTATCCCCAGCAAATAATGTCAAGTCGGTTTCAGGGAGAAACTGAACATAATAATTACATTTTCAATAAGCAATCCCAACAAGCGGTTACACACCACCCTTCACCGGCTTATTCTCAAGTTATTGAAGGGCATAATCCTGGAACCCTTTTACCTCCTAATCAAACTTTATCAGGAACTATTTCCAACTCTAATTGGAGGCAACCTGGAACTGCACCTTCAGGCAGTACTATGTATCCATCAGGGTCATCTGTTAGCTGTACTCAACCAAATACATCAATAGTTCGATCTGCACCTATGCAATCTACGTCCTCTCAATCCATAGTATCAACAGCCTCGCCCAATACTGGTGTTGTTCCGTGTAGCATCTCTCCAGAGGATGTGCGGATCGTTCAACAAGCATATACTACAATGCGGCAGCGAGGCGCTCCGGCGTCTGAGGTAAATCGATTTTATATTCCTTTTGATTTTGATAGATTTTCGAATATATTTCTGTGGTTAATTTAACTTTTATGTCTGTTACTCAGTAAGTTCTTTTATTCCTTCGAAGTTGATTAGGAGATTAAATAGTTTAATGGAATGCAGTTCATTAGTTGAGTGTGCTGTGGGATTGTTCTCAGTTTTTGTTTACCTTAGGTTTTCTAAGTACTTTAGGTTAGTATTTTTGAATATAGTGACTCGAAACTGCCTTTATTCGTGTGTCTAATATTTTATTGCAGTAGAACAGACTTTTTAGTCCATGACAAAACTGTGGTTGTGTCAGATTGAGGTTTGAGTCTTATATTTACCAGAAGTTGTTTAGTTTGTGTCTGAATTTTTTTCAACTTTTCAATCAACATAATCTTCCTATACCCAACCGTTTTTGAGTGATATTCATCTCCCTTCAAAACCCAGTCTAAGTGAAAAAAAACTTCCCTTAGCAACAATTCCGCAGAACATCATTCAAAATTTCAAGTAATTCGTATCTAAGTGATGAGAACTTTGGTTATCATAGTCTTTTGATCCCAAAAATCCACATGAATTAGTTAGACCAAATCAAGTCTTATCCCCAGTGTTTGAATTTAATGGTGAATTAGCCGCATCCTATGCTTTTTATAGCTCTATTTTGCGAAAGATCGGTTTAAAAATTTACTTTATGACTATCTTATTACAACCTACACTTATTCTCTTGGATTCCCTCTCATTTACTATAAGCATAGAAGAGTAAACATTTAGATTCTATTAAAATTATTTCGCCGTCTTAGTCTTACAGGAAACGACCTACTTAAAGTGTTCTTCATTTTCTACCCTACGATATTTTGTTTGTATACAATCACGTAGTATGTAGTCGTCACTTTTAAACTTTAAGCTACATGAATTAGAAGAGTTGCTAGATGTTAGTCGTACATGGATCTATGCACCTGAATCATCATATAAGGACAGTAATAAACTGAAATTATTCATAATCGTTTTCAATATTTTCTTAGGATACTGAAATGTTAAGCTCTGTAGTCGTAAATAATTTGAAGTGCTGGTATTGTATTTACATCTAACAATTGAATCAATCATTTTTCGACACTTTTTAATATTACTCTTTGATACTTATTCCTAAATTGATATAGTTTTGTAACATTAAATTTCCCGATGTATTAATGTGAAACAATGTTTTGTCGAATAATTAAGTTACACTTATATTTCTACAATTGTAAATCATTCTAACTCGTTTGTCATATTATAGGCAAGAATACAATTTGCACCAAACTCATTAAAAATGTTTATGTTTATTTACAGTATATAATATTTTGGCTTTTGATAAGTAGTTTGTATATAAAAAGTTTGTGAATTTCATGTTTATTAATTTAAGTTTATTATTATTATTATGGAAAGTTCAATTAATATTGATTAGCACTTATTTGATTAGAATAAATAAAATTTTAGCACATATTTCTCGACATTCCGATCAATTATTATTTTTTAACGTTTTCTCTATTCAACTCATCCATATTTATAATGAATTTATTTAAGTACCAAGATTTATTTAGTAAGAAATTCTCTATATTATTTTTCTATCTGTAACTGTACAATAGTTTTACAAGACTATTTTATCTAAATTTTCCTTCGTTAATACATATGGATAAATGAAAATTATATATCTCGTTTAGTTAATTACAAGTTTATTTACTTAATTTTTAGCCACATATTTCGTGTGTGGTGTTATCAAAGCCTATAGTAACTATTATGTTCAATTGTCTAAATTATTACCCTAATTGTTAGGAAAGACATGATCACCTCACCAACTTTTCTTCATTATGAAATTCTGTAACAGTCACTGTCCAACAAATGCAAAAGCTTACTGGTATCTTTTTAATCATAAAATTTCCCAAGTGTATACTTTATCATCATTACATTTGAAATATTTCGTAACTAACAGTATATGAATAGATATTATTCTAAAAAGAATTAATCTTACACTTGAAGATTACACAAAAAAGTTCATCTGTTTTGTGGAAATGGTTACAAAATCCAATCTTTTGAACACCAAACAATAACATCAAAATAATTATATTGTTTTTCCCATCTACAAACCCTAAAGTACTTTAGAATTGATTTAAAAGTACACCTAATGTGTCAACAAGAAAAATCGTTAACATGTAATTTATCGTAAGTAAAGAATCTAATTATTTACTGAAGTGTACTCTGTAGTTTCCTTTATCCTACTTCGCTTTTGTGAACCGTGACACTCGAAGGTAAAAGATACAAAGCCGTAGATATTCAATCACAGATATCTCGGGCGAACTTTTCAGTCATAAATGCTGCAATTAATCATAGAAGTAAAATGGAATCAACCTCGGAACCAAAGCAAGATAAGATGTAAAGTATTTGATACTCGATCTATCTATGCTTGAAATTCGTTTGAGATGGGGTTTTTTCGTCTTTCTTGTTGACCTTTACTGTTACTGTATTAGTTATCACTGGATATTGTGATTCTTAAGAGATAATCGCAGATAGCTATATAGACCTGGTTATAAAATAATATAGTCGTAATGTTGATACTGTGATGGGAGCTAACCAACCAAGCATTAGTAATTTTTAGGGAAGTGCGATGATCATATAATTGTTTTGAAATAATTATGAACATGAAATCTAAGGTTTTTAAATGGAACATCAGCTGTTAATTTCAGCTTATTTTTCGCTATTACAATTTTGCACATACTGTTTTCATGGTAGTCAACATTTTTATTAATTATAACTGTATAAATATGTCTAAGAATGAAACATATTCGATTATAATGATCGTATTTGGAGTTATTTTTCATCAGCATTTATATAATTATTTCTATTGTAGTACACTTCTTTGCAAATATTGTATTTTGGTTAATATTATATTACAGTTTTCAAGTTGGTTGAACTCCAGTCCACAATATGTGAGGGCGTGGCAGTATATTCAACAATCACATTTACACAACCAACAACAACAATTATCTCAAATGTCCGGATGTATGCCTAGTACTTCTACTCCCCATTGCCCTATAGGAGCTCAGCTACATAGTACATATTCTGCTTGTCAGACTCCACAAAATTCTCAGTCAGTTGCTGGATCGCGTTCTTTACCTCCTCAGTCAAGGTATCCGTATTCACAAGTTCAACAGCAGCAGATTATTGGAAATCCTCAGTCGCACCAATCACAGTCTTGGTCCTCTTTGCCCACACAACAACCTCGTTTTCGTCAAGCAGTAACTCCTCCGAATTATAATCAACAATCTAATCAACAGTTTTCAATTCCTTGTCATCAACAAGTTGGTAAACCTCCATCTACAACTATATCTCCAACTCAAGCATCTAATTCTCCTCAACGCTACATGACTCAAACAAATATGCCTCAACCTATGTCCAATCAAATCCCTATTTCACCTCCTGCTTCTAACATATCTCGATGTGCTAATACTGTAATGCCACAAATGGCGTCACTTCCACGTTGTACGAACAGCCTCTCAATGCCTTCCATGGGTCTTGTAAATTCTGCTGGTATGAGTCCTAATCGGGCAGTTCAACCCTCTCCTCATTATTCGTCTGTAATGCTATCACAGTTATTAGGGCCTGGCCAAACAGCTAATCTTGTTAACACCCCATCTTCTGGTTCAGAGTATCCTAATATGCCAAGTAAACAGCATCTTGTTCGACAGGAATTCATTCCTTCAACAGTTTTCCAGCAGAAATTAAATTAGGGCTAAATATTGTTGTCCATTTATCTATATTTCAGCTGACTTTTCTTGAAATACTTGTGTTAAGTTTAAACTTTTCTTATTCAGATGTATGTATATATAATATGAATTTGATTAATGAATTATCTGTGAGTTCTCACTACTACTTGTTATTTTTCTTTATTACAAAAATGTGTAAATAGTACTTTTGACCTCCCAGAATGCTTTTTTAAAATTCATTCTGTATTAATTTCGCTGTCTACTTCTCACTTCAATTTTCCCCAGTGGTGAGATCATGTGATTTTTTGCCATTTTCTGTATATTTGTACAGGCCATTGTATATCTGTACATGGCTATCCCAGTTTTTGTTGAGCTAGATTATACACACATTCACATTGTCAAACCTTATATTAATGTATTACTACTGATGTAATTTTGTTTTCTTTAATAAGAAATTTCTTTTTAAATATGAATTCACTCAAATGTAATTATTTCTAGCATTTCGGAGTTCGTTAGTTTATGGTCTATTTGTTCAGTCCAGTATGGAACTAAATGAGCTTGATATATATTGTTAAACAGGAAAAAATGCACTGCTTAAGTCTGAGTGTACATGGTAGATGCTATGGATAGACTCTTTCGAAGTAAATTCTGAACATAGATTCAAGCTATCTTACTTGGGAACAGTGTATCGAAAAAGTAATCAAAATCTGTATTCAAGATAAGGAGAAACCAAGTAAATCATAAGCGAACTAAGAAAATCTGTGGGGTAAATTACGTCAGAATTGTAAAGAACAATCTCAACTAACAATTCTGAGATATCCCACTTTATATCTTAAACCTTCGATCCCTTTGATCGTAAGTACCAGAGTCTATACTTTGTTCTTGAAGCAATTGGCAATAGTTTTGTGATTGGCGTTTCCTCCATTATCTTGATAATAAGACTGACGTCACACTTCATTTTAGATGGAGACTTAGTGAATCACTCCAGTCACCTATCAAATAATACGTCTCTTGACTATAATCCACACTTTAACACGTAAAAGATTTCGCAAATTAGTCTAGTTCGAGCATATCATCTCTTGTCGGTCACTTTTTCAGAATTGATGGTACTACTTACACGCTCACTAAGACTATTATTAGCATTGTATGCTAAATGTATATATCCTGGTAAGTGGAAAAACTGACTTTGTAAAATATTAAGCTCCTTATTTTTAGGGTGTCACTACAAATCAATCTTGGATCATAACCCAAATTGGCAGTAAAGTAGTCTTAAGTGCCGTAGCAAAAGCTTCGATACAGCCCAGAGCTACCAACATTAAACAGATTAGTATACCTAATACTGTAGGACCCATTGACATCAAGAAGTTCAGCGTCATCCAGTTGACTGGCTTTCTGACCAACAATCTCTACAGACTTGGGATTTTGGGTCCTTCATTCCATACAGGAATTCTAGCAAACAATCATACCTACTTTTTTCCATGTTTCATAGTCAGTCGAGGATCCTGGCCAAATACCCTACCATTTTTAACCCTTCAACAATAGGGAGAAGTTTGACTTGGTAAGCCAAGTCCCTCACTCAAAACATGATAAATGAATATACCAGTACTAGTAGATAGAATGACTATCATGTTCATCTATATAAAATGTCTGTAGGTCATCTATCTGTCCCACCTGAAGTATTGTATCCTGTCTTACTAGATACAGTATAAAAATTCGCGGGGGAAAAGGTTTATTCTAGGTCCACTTATCGGCTTTGGGTCTGTCTTAAATGTGTCAAGTGAAATACTTTACTTACGCCTGTTACTCTTAATGGAGCATAGGCCGCCGACCAGCATTCTCCAACCCACTCTGTCCTGGTCCTTCTTTTCTAGTTCCATCCAATTCTTGTTCATTTTTCTCATGTCTATTTCCATTTTCCGGCGTAATATGTTATTTGGTCTTCCTCTTTTCCTTTGGCCTTATGGATTCCATGTGAGGGCTTGTCTTGTGACGCAGTTGGGTGCTTTCCTCAATGTATGTCCTGCCCACTTCCAGCGCTTCTTCCTCCGCTGGGATCTGGTTTGTTCTCTCCCACAGTAAGTTGTTGCTAATAGTGTCCGTCCAACTGATCTGAAGTAATTTGCGTAGACAACTGTTAATAAACACCTGTATTTTCTGGATGGTTGCTTTCGTAGTTCTACAGACAGTAGAACTGTCTTTTGTATTGAAAATCCTGACTTTGGTGTTGGTTGACAGTTGCTTTGAGTTCCAGACGTTCCCCAGTTGTAAATATGCTCTTGCTTTATTGATCCGCGCCTCCACATCTGCATCAGATCTACCCTGTTCATCAATGATGCTGCTCAGATATGTAAAGGTTTTTACATCTTCCAAATTTTCTCCGTCAATTGTGATTGGATTGGTGCATGCTGTGTTGTATCGGAGAACCTTGCTCTTCCATTTGTGTATATTGAGATCTATTGCTGCTGCTACACTGATCGTCTTCTCCTGTATTTGTTGTTGCGTTTGGGATAGAAGGGCCAGATCATTTGCGAAGTCTAGATCGTCCAATGGCATCCTAGATGTCCATTGTGTCCCTTGTTTCCCTTCAGATGTTGACGTCTTCATGATCCAGTCGATCACCAGGAGAAAGAGAAAGGGTGAGAGTAAGCAACCTTGCCTGACACCGGTTTTTATTTCGAACGATTTTGTCAACTGTCCTCCATGCACGATTTAGCACTTTAATCCATCATATGAATTCTGTATGATATTGACTATCTTCTGAGGCACGCCGTAGTGTCGAAGAAGCTTCCATAGTGTTGTTCTGTCCACGCTGTCAAATGCTTTTCCGTAATCAATGAAGTTGACGTAGAGTGATGAATTCCATTCAACTGATTGTTCCACAATGATCCGTAAAGTTGCGATTTGGTCTGTACACGATCTATCCTTACGGAATCCTGCCTGTTGGTCACGAAGTTGGGCGTCTACGCAGTCCTTCATCCTGTTTAACAATACCCTGTTGAAGACTTTTCCCGGTATTGAGAGAAGAGTGATGCCTCTGTAGTTATCACACTTGCTGAGATCGCCTTTCTTCGGTATTTTGATCAGAAGTCCTTCTTTCCAGTCTGTTGGTACTTGTTCCTCATCCCAAATCTGATTGAAGAGAATGTGGAGTATCTTTGCAGTTGCCGCTACGTCTGCTTTTAGTGCCTCTGCTGGAATGTTGTCTGGTCCTGCTGCTTTGCCACTCTTGATTTGTCTGATGGCCATGCTGATTTCTTCAATTGTTGGTGGGCCAACATTGATTGAGAGGTCCGTGGGTGCTGCTTCGATGTTGGGTAGGTTTAGTGGGGCTGGTCGATTCAAGAGTTCTTTGAAGTGTTCTACCCACCTGTTTCGTTGCTCTTCAATGTTGGTGATTACCTCGCCTTGTGTCAAATGAAATACTGCTCTGAAATGCAGATGGATGTTTCTAGAAAGCTCATTACGATCTCTCATGCCTCCATTAATTGAACCGGTAATAAATAACTACCGTTAAGAATGAAGGAAAGTTTGCCAATAATTTTTAAAAACTTTAAATGAGTGATACTTGAATAATCAGAAATACATTCAGCAGCTAGAAAAACTATTGGCACTAGATGATAAATCAAAATGTTCAGGCTTCTTATTCTCGATGAATCATTGACTTCTCATCAGTATTATTGGCACTCGTCTCTGATTTTCTCATGTTACTCTTATTATTATGTAGACTTTCGGTAACTACAACAAACAAACAATACAATTTTAATTTATTAAATCATAGCCATCTACTACTGGCTAATCGAGGGTTTAAATTTTGCCTCTGGCTCGGCTCCTAGACTATTAATATAGCTCATAAAACACTAATCAGCCATGACGAAGGTTTCGAAATTTTATTAAAAAATCAGCTGTTACTACGGCTATTATCATAAGATATTAGATTTTCTAATCGGCAGTAACATGAATAAATTACTGTTGTCTCGAAAAGTCATCTTAACATATCAAACATCGTTCTTATTCACTAAAAATCTGAGTAGTCACTATAGTATAATTGAAATAGTATGTTATTATCCTTTGATCACATAGCGACATAACTACTTACTCCAGCGCTGTCTAGTAGGATTATGATGCTGCAAAGAGAATCTATCCTGAAAAATGACCAGCCTAGATTATTTGCTTGACAAACCTATTAGTTATGGTTATTAGTTTAATCATTTGAACTAGTAACAGAATGTTCGAAAGCCTTCGTTGAAACTCGTCTCCATAACTTTACTTCCCAATCAGTAGATACGTAATCTGAAAATAAACATGTAGATGTAGACATATACAATAAGTTTTAAATTCTTAAGCAATAGAAAAGGTAACGAGTAACTTCAGTCTGCCCCTACGTACAGATATCGATTTTTCAATTATTGATAGCCTGAATTGAAAAACTATATCATTAGTAAAAGTTAAGTAAACAGTAGTGAAATATTCTGCTCCCCTTTGACTCTGAACAATATTTTCACATGATTACTTGAAATTTACCTAGTTTTACATCTGGTGAAATCTCAATCTAACAATACATCTGCCATCTATATATATATATATATATATATATATATATATATATATATATATATATATATATATATATATATATATATATATAATCATACTCATTCTGTTTTCTTCAGTGATCGGACACAGTCTAGCTAGTTGTTGTTGACGCCGGCTGTGCTCCCTCATGACTTGCTATGCAGTTATTGTATGTATTCACAAAATTGTATATATTTGTACAAGAAAGTTGAGTGAAAACTCCATTCGCTGCTTCACAGATAATGTAATTTATCACTGATGACGTAATATAATTTACTGATAGTTTATGATTAAAAAATGAGCTATCTTACTTTATTTCTTCTAACTACCTACAAATTTCCCTCCAATGTGTATCTTTCGAAATTTTACACCATCAACAATTAATTACTGTTGGTTCTAAGACGGGACATTATTATAAAGTTTTTCTCATGGATATATGACTTAAAATAGTTCTGACACTCATTTAAAAGTATATTTAAAAGAAATATCATTCGTACATAAGACTAGATAAATTGATTCAAAAGAATTAATTTGTATTTCTGTGTCTAGTTTAACACAGAAGTGATATCATTTCACAATTTTCAATGATCATATGGTCTATGTAAGTTTGGTATGTTGCATCATTTAAATATTTGGTTCAAGAGACTGTCTTATAGAAATAAAATATTTTTATAACTGACTTACCCATTTTATATGTAATCGATAGCTTCCAGTTAAACTTAGATGCTTTCTATGGTGTTGATTAGTCATATGACGTTCTTATTATACTTACAACATTGATTCCTAGTACGTATGTTTGCGGAAGATGAACAACGAGAATGACAGTTTCAATTTTCATCTTTAAGTATTTTGTGGTGGTAGTAATACAAGTTCATTTTAACTTTAAACTAGAGTAAATTTATAAACAAAAAATTGTTATATAGACT